GTCAACTGAAGCTACTGAACCAAGATGCATTTGGTGGTGGAGGCGATCTGGCTGTTCATGTTAGGAATGCCTGACCTTAGATAGGTCAGGAATATCAGCTGAGCCTGCTCCTGAGCTTTTCAGAAGGAGAAATTCAGATTGTTCAGGAATGATCAGGAGACTCTGGGAGAGCTGACAGGTATTAAGTATAGGAAACAGCATAGCCAGGCGTTTTCAGTTACAATGAAGGCCAATGCTTTCTAGAGATAAGAACTTGACAGAGAATCCTGATAACAAACATGAATACTTTCGGCTCTGGAGAGTATTGTCAGAGTATTTATATATTCTCAGAGTTGAGATTACCATGTCAAGGATTCTATTTAAATGGTGTATTTACCCAGCTTGGACACTTACTAGACATGTACCTTCCAGAAAGGTAAATTCTCTATGCCTCAGTTTTGTCATCTATAAAGTGGGATAATGTGTATATACCTCATAGAGTTTTGAGAATGTATGCATAATATTAGCAAATAGTAGCTGGTTATAATAATATTTCCATAAATAGCAACATATGGTTATTATAAATTTTGTACTTATTTCAAGTTGAAGCTTCTTGAAAACAATTTTATGTTTGGCCTCCCCCAAACCTTGGAGAAACTGGGACAGCTCAGCTTCATAAGAAATCTAGTTTACCTCTATACTTCTTTCTCTTTTCTTAAATGGGTTTCTTCATGCCACAGTTTGTCTTAAAAAAGAAGTCCTGTTGATGGTCAGAGACATCCTGTCTTTTTCCTGAGATAGTACCCTATCTCAAGTGACCAGAGTTTTTTTCCTGTATAATGTTAGGATTACATAATTCATGTTTCCATCTATAATTCTCCAAGTCAAGTTCTTCCTCTGAGGTTCTGGGTTAAGGTCATCAGCCTTAGTTTTACTCTCCATGCAGAGACAACAGGCACTAAGTCACTTGTTTCTGAGATACGAACCTCTCTTTTTTGCCATCAGAACCTAATGTCAGCATTTTGTTCTCTTATTTAAGGCACAAATCTGTATGTTGTCAAGAATAGTTATTGGGGTTTTTCTACGCACTTCTCATCAGAACCAATGTGAATAAGGTGAATCTTTAATCTCACCTCTGGGGATTTATAAATATACCAAAGAAAGAAAAGGTTGCATGCCTGAGTATGTGCCTGGCTTCATTTTAATAGTGGATAATTGCTAGTGACCCAAATTAATATTGAAATTTTGTATAACCTAGCTAGCATATTGTGCAACCATTAAAAATGATAATTTTGAAGACTATGCTACAACATGGGGAAATGCCTACATTAGTCAGCTACTGCCATAAAACAAACAATCTTGAAATCTCAGTCATATAGTAATAAGCGTTTATTTCTCGCTTATGCATTGCAGGCCAGCTGGGGTTTGGCTAATGTAGTTGGGACCATTTGAACTTGGCCCCAGGCCACGAGTTGAATTCAATCCTGCTTCAGAGCTCTCATTCCTCAGTGACGGGTGGGCTTTCTAAGGCATAGTCTTCACATGGCAACAGGGGAAGCCCAAGAGAGCAGACCTAATGCTGAAATGTGTAAAGCTCCTGCACACATCACAACTACTAACATTTCATTGGCCAGAAAAGTCACATGCCCAAGCCACATCAAGAGGGTGGGAAAATATACTCCAGCTCTAATGCCAAGACTATAAAGGATATAGGGATAGGGAGTAATAAAACATTGGGAACAATAATACAATCTCCAACTATGCCTTACAAAAAGGTTAAATAGCAAAAGCACATGCACAGGATACAAAGTTGATTGTACAACTTGATCATAACTATGTAAAAATAAGTTTGCATATCAACAAAGAATGAAAATAAATAAGCAGAAATGAAAAAAAAACTATGCCTGGAAACAAA